ATTTTTATACTAGGAATCATTGAAATTCTCATTAAGGTAATAGTCTCTTTGAAGATGCTAATTTTAATTAACAATACATCACTCAGTAGTCTTGTTCTATTTTTTTTTAAAGAAATGCTTTAATTAATAAAGGGTGTTGTTTCATGTCCTGGAAATACCTCCATGGAGTGGAATTAAGACATTTTCATTTAGGAAATGAATTAAGCAGTAAATAAATAAATATAGCAAAACATAATAATAATCTACAACGTTAATCCTCTCAGACGCAAAGAAATAATTATTCAACATGTTTGTCACAGATGATACATAATATGTTTCATATAATGATACTACTTCCTTATGCATTTCTCTCATGAAAAGGTGGTCTGTTAGAAATATAAATATTTTACATAAACATGTCTTCTACTCTAAAACTGACTAAAGACTTTATGCAGCCATTTAAAGAAAAACTTTTTGTATAAATAAATATAAAATCCCTCATGATTTTTTTGCATCCACGATTTAAATTCTAGTAATATTATGTTTTGGTTTGTAGTTACGCTTTTTTTTCCTAGTTGACATATATATGTGTTTGAGACGCAATAACTATCTTTGTAATTACAAATCCATATTTCCGTTTACACAAGCAGGTATATGTCTTATTTTAATTGAAGGATTCAATATAGTATTATCAGCTTTAAGGAATGCCTGAGGAATTTTAACAGCTTGGTACACAAAAAAATATAATTACAAATATAGTAACATAGTATGTATAACACTAATGTAGAGAGTGAATAAATTCTGGTTGTTTGGGGAATGGCAAATTGCTTAACTTTAATGCAAATACAAAATTTAAACATTCATTTGAATAAATAGATGTAACCGAGAGGGCTAGATCAACTAAAAGATCTTGAGAATTTATGGCCCTCTGCCGTTGGAAAACACAAAGGGTGTTCCTGACATAACTGTCTAGTAAACCTGCTGAATCTCATAGGAAATGATGAGGCTCACTGCGGAAAGTGGACTAAGAGAAGGTGTGGGGGGCTCCGGCACTCTGGCACTCACAGTACCTACTCACAGTCGGTACAAACTACCCAGAATCTAAGTGGAGCTAACTTTTGTTTCCCAAAAATACTGGGCAGGGGGGTGGTGTGGGGGTGTCTTGCGTT